TATATATATATATATATATATATATATATACATACATATATATATTTGTATTCATCCTTTATGATTGTCTGTTGTCTTTGTTTTCCACTGTTGTCATCACTCTTCTTTCAAATTCAGGTCTCTCTTGTAAATGTCACCGAGGCTCAGTGGGATTAACCAGTATTAATAAATGTGGAATTAATTAAAATAAACCAGGTCAGGTGGTGCGCATGATGAGGTGCCCTGAGCATGCTCCCTCCAAGTATGAACTGGCTTTACGTAGATTTAATGTGTCACTTCACTGGTGGGAAACGACCATAGGTTAGGTTCTGGGACCCAACTTTTGAAGAAGGGCTCGACTCTTTTTCTCCAAAGTCGCCCATTGGAAGAGTTGTCTGGCAAATGTGGTAAAACTCACATGCTACAGGCAAAGAGCCTCACTGTTAGAGTTCTTTCTGGAAGTGAAATATGGAACAATAAGATCTGTAATATAAGATGGATCTAAGTTGTTGAGAGCTTTGTATGTCTAGCACCCCACTGCTCTGTCGTATTTAACTGGGACAAGAACTTAAACTGACTGGTGGGGTAGCTGTTTGGGTTTGTTACTTTTCCGGTAGATACCACGCAGGTTTACCCATGTTGAGTCAATACTTACTCCCCTAATTACCATATACTATACACATCTTTGATTTAATAACTCCAGACAACCAGATTAAAAAAATAGTTTATTTTAATAAGAACGTGGAACTCTAAACGCTTAGCTCCAAATGAAGCTACACCATACAAAAATTGACCCAAAACTATAAAACCATGCCCTTATTTCCCAAAGTTAAATGTTTCCCCAACATAAAATAAAAACAGTTAGAGCACATTTTGTTTCAGTGCCTTAGTTTTTATCCAATATAACTTCTTTTTTTTTTTTTTTTTTTTTTTAAACAAAACTCCATACATTTACAGACAAAAATACAGTTCTAAACTTAACCCCAATAGCCCACGTGGATCCAGGCACTCTCTCACACACACACACACACTGTCCGGTACCGATTTAAGTTTTAGTTGCAGGCCTGTTAATGCTGGGATGTGCTGTCGCCGGTGAAAATCTTCTTCTCCCCATTTAGACGATATAAAAGAGTCAGACCTGCTCGCTCAGCTGACATCCTCTCTGTCACGGATGCTTTGCGGGTCCAACTTTAACACACCTCCACCACACGGGTCGCTGAACAACTCCTCAGCTGCACTGGAGCATGTGTCGCCATGTTGACACGTTCATCTTGCCTTCTTGGATCAGCCGCAGTTTTCCTCAGATCAGCAGTGGTTCTCTTCCATGCTCTTCACCTCCTTATTCTCCAACACACTTCTGCAGATGTCCTAATCGCATTAACTTGTGCAGAAAAAACCCACAGAACAGTTCAGTTCTTTCTCCACCATCTCTTGGTGCACCTGTTAGTCACCGTCCCCATTCGTTCTTTTAATAATAATAATAATACTTTATTTATAAAGCCCTTTAAAACAACCACAGCTGCCACAAAGTGCTGTACATATAAAATCAAGAACATTTAAACACATAAAAACAGTTGTTAAAACATTAAGATCAATAAAAAAATAATAAAAGCAGTGCAGATCAAATTCAGTGTGAGCTAAAAGCCAGGGAGTAAAAATGTGTTTTTAAAAGAGTTTTAAAACTGGACAGTGAAGGAGCTTGTCTGATGGGAAGAGGGAGATCGTTCCACAGTCTTGGAGCAGCAACAGAAAAAGCTCTGTCCCCTCTGAGCCTCCACTTAGACCTCGGCACCTCCAGGAGCAGCTGATCAGCTGATCTGAGGCACCGAGCAGGAGAGTATGGGTGAAGCAGCTCAGAGAGGTAGGATGGAGCAAGACCATTTAAACTTTTAAAAACAAATAAAAGAATCTTAAAATGAACTCTAAAATGAACTGGCAGCCAGTGGAGTGAAGCCAGAGTGGGGGTGATGTGCTCCCTCTTTTGAACTCCAGTTAGAAGCCGAGCAGCAGCGTTCTGGACCAACTGGAGGCGTCTGAGGGAGGACTGGCTGACTCCAAGGTAAAGAGCGTTACAGTAATCCAGCCGAGAGGTGACGAAGGCATGGATTACTGTTTCCAGCTGCTGTTTTGTAAGGATGGTCTTTACCATAGCCAGCTGTCTGAGGTGATAAAAACTGGTCTTGACCACCGCTCCAATCTGGGACTCTAATTTAAAATCACTGTCCATTTTAAAAC